TGCCTGGTCTGAAGTCTGATGTTCATCTGGCATTTTTATGGTTCTCCAGGATTTCTCAAAGGTAATATATAGGATTTTAGCCACATTGCCTTCTCCTGCCATCCTCCATTTTTTTCCTCACTGGAGTTGCCTGCAATTGAACTTTTAGGATCTCTATTTTTAGGTACTCCCACACATTTTTAGATTCTTTTCCAGTTTGCTCATCCTGCCATTAAAGCTTACCTGTCATTGTTCTGAGTTCATTAAAATCCACTTCTTTCAAGTCCTAGATATATGTATGTGTTAGTTTCCTTCAAAATCAAGAACTGCAGTGCTACATGGTCGCTTTCCCCTAAATGTTTTTCAGGAACATTTGGAAATAGTTGTTCTTGTTCAGATCTTTTTTTTTTAATAGTTTTGTATGAATTCAATAAGTCATGGTTAAAAGTATCCTGGCTCAGCATTATATAGAAACACACCATCTCTTTTTTCTTCCACTCGTCTGCCTAGCAGGTTGCCAGTACAAAGAAAGATTGCTCTTGCCAACAGGTCTCAAATGATCATTTGCAGAAAGCTTTTGAAATTGCCCGCTACTGAAGTAGAGAATACCAAATGGAATGTACCCACTTCCTTCTTTATTCCCCTTCTCAAGGCACCGCTCAAACCATTTTTCTTCCACTTTTGGATTCATGCTTGGTTGTCCTAGGGAGTTAGAATACTGGAAAAATCTATTGTGAGGTAGACATGCTTAGTGCTTCCAATGGAAGCAGAGAGGATGTTCCCCTGCAGAATTCAAAGGATGTTGTGATTAACAGGACAAACAAGTTTATTTTTAATTTGGACAGTCAGATTTCACCCTCTTTGTCTCATCATTTTGCTCAAATTTCTCTTGCATGGAGGACAATCTTGACAGCAGTATTTCCAGGGCTGACCCGACCATTAGTCATCATGAAGGTTTTTTTTAAAATAATCTTTGGTAAGAGATACTGGGAGGTGGAAGGGAGGTTGTGTGCTAGAGAATTTGGACTAGATTGCACTCCTGCCTCTCCCCTCAGATGTGATGGGGGTGCTCTTCCTTTACAAATGTTGAAGAAAATCCAACTGACTTTTGGCCATGAAATGGTGAGGGACCTCATCATCTCATTTCCTTAAGGCAACAAAATGTTTGGGTGGACCTGGATATTTTCCATTAAAGTTAAAGTATTACAGGTTTTTTTTCTTAACTGTTTCCCAAGAGACATGTATAATTTTGATGTCATGAAAAACACCCAGTCCCAGAAGATCTATGCTGGCATTTTGAGCAAATCTCAAGTGACAGTTCATGAGCTGAACTGCATGTATTGTTAATCACATTTATTCCTCTGTCTCCAAGAATTTCATTTTTAGGTTAAGCAGCTGCTTCATGAAGGAACAGATACAAAGCAAGTCTCATATTTTGTTGACAAGCCTATTTATTAAATCTGAAAGATGAATATTGAAATATTTGATGGAATTACTGACTGTTCTTTACCAACTTAAGGTGGCCTTTGTTACTTCTAAAAAATTTTCATTTGAAAAGAGAAAAAATATTTTAAAATTAAAACAACAAAAAAAGAACTCATAGCTTCAGTTTGTTTTACATATATGTTCGTACCATATTATCTGATTAATGCATTTACGTTTCAGGTAACCACGCTTTAAAGTCGGGGGGGAGGGGACTGAAAGAATATCATGCCAGAGATTAATTAAAAATTGCTAATTAGTCTATTGACTGTGGCCAAGATTGTATTGCAAGTTATTGGAAAAGAAATCATGTTCCTTGCATATTACACTGGTATTAGAAAATATGACATTCTCAGTAATTAAGCAGGGATAATTGGATTTACAAGAAATGGATTTGGTTTCTTGCCTTCTGGAATGAAGAATTTCAAGGTGTTATATAATCCTTTTCACACTTCTGTTTGTGGGAACTGTATACAGTAACTTCTGTATAATTTATACACTTAATGAAAAAGAAAAAGAATCCAGTATAGGGACAGAGTCATCTTAATTCTCTTCCAAGTCCAGGCCTTCAGATAGTTTGGGCTGTGTAAGAAAAAGATGTGGACATTTGTTTCTTTCTCCCATGATACCAAAAGTAAATGTGTTGTGAACTATGAGTAAAATATGTACTACTCTTTCATTAGAGGATGCAATTTAGATAATTAAATTAAGGGGAGAAAACAAAAATATGAAGATTCAGGGGGTAGGTTCAAAATAGGAGTTGGAGTGCAGCCCTTAGCCAAGTTATGGTTTCATCAGATCAAATTGTGATACTAGGATGGAACAGGGGTTCAGGTGTTGAACTCATCTGGGAGACCCAGGTTCAAATCTGCCTTCAGTCATGACATGGTCGTACGTTTGTGCAGATATCATTTAAGAAAAGTGATATCCCTCCTAAACTAATGTTATGTAAAGCTGGTGCTTGCCACCAGCAATTTGAATAAGCATTTGCATAAAACATATATCCTTACATCTCAGTTCAGTAAGGAGACTTTTTAGCTCATTATAAGTTTTTCATCAGTTAATACAACTAATTCACTTAAAGTCTGCAAGTTGAATGCTTTGCTTTGAACAAACTGTACTTAATTGAGAGTGTTGAAAGAAACTCAGTATTAAATGTTCTATCCCATTTAAAAATTAGGCAGGTTGAAGGGAAGCATAGTCTATGCGTGCACACGCACACACATGCACACACACACACAATCAGAGAAAGAGAATGAGAGACAGAGGTATGAGTCATCCCATCTCCTTAGAACTGGGTCTCTCTATCCAGAATTAATATAGTTAATGCAAACGAATGCAGAGTTCATGCATGTATAACACCCACACATATTCAGTTCTCTCCACCGCTTTTCCCTGTGCCCCTGAGGTCACCTTCACTCCTGAAGAACAGCTAGTTTTGAAACAGATGGAGTTTAAACTTTTTATCAAACATAAAAATTAAAGCTAGGTGCAAGAAGGGTCAGCTATCACATTCAAATTAAGTGCAAGAGAGTCTGTTTCCTTAAAACTACAAGTTCTTCAGTAGCCGGAAAAGAAATTAGCAGTAAGGGAGTTTTATGCAAGTGTGAAAAAAGCAGTTGGTGAAGATGTGAGCATTTGCAGTTAACATTTTCAGAGGAATTGTATACGACTGGAAGTTAAGCTGTCCACAAATGTAAACATCAGCTAAATTTCCAGTGATGCAAGTTGTATTCTGTCATTCATTAAGAACATTTTAAGAAGTTGCATTCATTTTTCATTTCTGCCTTAATTGTGTGTGTGTGTGTGTGTGTGTGTGCACATGTGGAGGAGGAACAGTTAATGCAAATGGGGATTATGAAGTGCTGTAATTTTTTAAAAAATAGAGATTTGGGGATACAGGGCAGGTGCTCAACCTTTATTTTATGCCGCTTTGATCCAAACAAGTCTTTAAGGAACTTACAAAATAATAGGAACATTAAAATAAAACAATAATAAAAATAACAGTGCCCCAAAGGAACAGCCCACAGCTTCCAAACCCATAGCAGGAGCAGCAGAGTCAAATAAGGGAACCCTAGATTTCTGCATATCTTCAGATCATCTTCACTGCCTTTCTATTTAAACCACAGGGTTTTTTTTCCCCCTCTTAAACAAAATGAAACAAAAATGAGATGTACAAGGGCTACGTTTTGGCAGGAAATTATGTTTTGCCAACACCTGGTATGCACGCTATTTCCTCCCCAATCTTGCTCCTACAGTCTGCCAGGAAAGTCAGCCTTGCATGGACTAAAAGCAACTGCGCTCAGGTCCGTCTGTCTGTCCGTCCATCCATGCCTCATTTCTCTATATAGCTCAGATCGAGAGTGCTTAAAACTTCCTGCTCCCCTAAAACAAAACATTGTTTTTGTATAAAATAATTAGGTTCACATATCATACTAAGTCAATATATGCTTAATAATGGAAAATGGAATAAACCGTATTTGACTCAGTTCATGCAACTTGTTTAAAACCATAAATAAGGATTTGTAAGCTACAACAGCAAGATTTATGCTGTCTGCTAAGATATTATTACTTGTGTATTGTTTGGTTTTACCGCATTTTTATACTGTTTTTATTGCATTTTAATTAATATTTATTTGTTGTTTTATTGTGAACTGCCCAGAGTCACTTCTTTGTGAGATGGGCGGTATCTAAATTTGAAATATAAATAAATGAAATATAAATAAATAAAACCAAGCAAAGCAAATTATGAGTTGGCATATTGTGTAAACCAGGCCTATCTGTACTTTGAGAAAGGCAGATGAGTCATCTACTTTTAACCATTTAAAAAAATGGAAATAAATCATATATATAATAAACTACCAAACATCTATAACTTATCAACTGTTAAGTTTGTAGTTTTCTACCATCTTCATATAAAACTGTATACTTGGAATAGTAAATCGTTTGAGGCTAGAGGCCTATTTTGAACTTTTGAGAACCTGTGGCTGGTGCACTCCCAAAATTACTATCATGGGAGACTTGCTTCATCACAAAATGGCTGCTATAGTGTGATTGGTCAATCAGAAGAACATGTTTAGAAGACAAGTTAGGTTCTCAGACTGCTTTCTACAACTCCAGTAGGATCTTTCTGGGGCTTAAAGTCATTACCCAGAGAGATATAAAGTTTAGAGGATGGTGCTTAGCTTTCCAGCATGCCAGCTTCATATTTAATTTCTTTTTTTAAAAAGAATATTTTTAAAAAGGTCATGTGAGGCAGGAGCTTGGGGACACTAAAAGCAATGAATGTCTAAGCATTTGCAGGCAATGTATTTGTGCCTGCAAATACTATAAACCCAATCTTGCTATGTATTCATTTATAAAGCAAGTGTATAATGACATTCTCAGGAAGCACTGCAAATATTTTTCCTGTTCTTATCCTGTAGCCATTGCTGCTATGCAACACAGAGCAAATTTTATGGTAGTAGTGAGAAGAACTTAACTGTGTTTCTGCATGAAGACGTATATTGCAATTAATGGACAATAGAGAGCTATCTTACCTTTAAGAGAAGGGGGGGTGTAGACACAGGGTGCATTTCTTTTGTTTTTAAGGTGGTAGCCTTCACCCAGAGTTCTCTGGAAAAAAACAAGAAGAAAGAGAGGAAATATTTGAAGGCAAACTTTTCAAAAAAGATTATTCCTATGAAACAATATAGGACAACAATTGTAACCAAATTGTTAAATTAAGACATTGACTTTGATCCAGGAAGCACTTTCTGTGCATGCATAGGACTGAATATATGGTTAGGCTGTGTACAGTATGTGTTTTTCACATTACACCTGTTGCTTTGTTTGTTTTCCAGCACTGTTCCCCAATACCACAATACTGGGATCATGTTCTGGAACATGTAGAGTACAAAAAAGAACTGTAAATTGATTTTTAAATCTCAACTAATTGTATACATTGGACTTAATGACTTAATCATGAATTGATGAATTCATACCCTTAGAAGAGCAGTCTCTCACGTGTTAGAAAAAGGGGCATGCCTCTTTTAAGGAGCGTGTCAACATCTGTGATTTTGATAACTCTGGGTCCAACCAAAAAGTTTTTACCTGTTGCCCGTTTAATTCAGTGATGACCCTTTGGTCAGTTAAAAGCTTGTTGATCTGATTAATCAATCAAATTAATCAATATTACATTCAGTGAATTGATTTGTCAACAATGCTACCTTAATTGTGTAGAGCAGTAGTTAAGGTCCTGGACTAGAACAGGGGAGACCTTGATCCAAATCCTCATCTGACTACAAGTCACTGGGTGACTTTGGGCTAGTTGTTACTTAGTTCTTACTTCACCGTTGTTGTTGTGGGAATTAAATAATAAATTAAATAATAAAATGTTCCCCTGAGCTCCCAAAGGAAATGCAGGTTAAATGCAATTGCTACAAAAAAGAATTCTAAGTAAACTGCAGTGTGTATCTCTAAGTATGGGCCATAATTAATTACGGAGATCCAAAATAAAGGAGAGGTCCAAAACAAGATTGGCCCAAAGCAGCATAATAACAACACAAATTGCCTCCTACCACAAAAAGTAGATCTGATCTACTGGCAAATCTCTGGGTGATTTGAAATACTGTAACTTGGATTTTTTTTCCTGATTTCCAGGAGCAATAAAATAGCAATTTAATAACAGGATTGTCTACAGAAAGATTTTAAAAAGGCAAAATGGAGGGTCCAATCATGCAATTGAAGCCCCACTCTTTTTAAATGTGTGTTGCCTGGGACAAGACTTCTGTCCCACGATTGTGCCCATCAGCTTGACTTTTCTGACCTCTCCCCACAGACACCCCTGATAATAGCAGTAACAAAGCCATCTCTTCACCATCCAAATTACGTTGCTGAGCAGTGAAAGACTACAAGCTCCATTCCTCCATTTCCTTCTGATACTCAGGAAAAAAAATCTGAATGACTTCATGATCATCTTGTACCTATGGCATCAGCTTCTGGCTGGGAGATCTCAGAGTTTCAACAAAAGGCAAAATAGATCCAGCAAGTCTGAAATCCATCCATGTCCTAGAGTCAAGTATGAATGAACGTTCTGAGTTAGATTAAGTACCTTTATAATAAAGGGAACATAGCCCATTTATGAAGAGAATTATAGCATCCTGTATAAGAAACTGAGCTGTGAGCTATCAATCTTCCAATCAAACACTACTTTTTCCATAAAGTTGTAGATTATCTTAGGCAAGCCATGATTTTCTGAGTGTCATGCACCTCGTATGCAACATGGAGGTAGTATTAATTGGTCTTTTCTACAGATTAAAGCCAGTTTGGTGTAGTGGTTAAGGGACCAGGCTAGAAACCGGGAGACCAGGAGTTCTAGTCCCACCTTGGGCACAAACCCAGCTGGGTAACCTTGGGCCAGTCACTATCTCTCAGCCCCAGGAAGCAGGCAGTGGCAAACCACTTCCGAAATCTTGCCAAGAAAACTGCAGGGACTTATCCAGGTAGTTGCCAGGAATGAAACCTGACTCAAAGGCACCAAAA